GAACAGTTTCTGACGTGGTAGATATGACATGAGTAAACTTTGACTTAACTGGCATGATGTGAGCACGTCCTGGAGTAGCAGGCGTGACATTAGCAGGCTTTGGCTTGGCAGACATCATGTGAGCAGGCTTTGGCATAGCAGACATGACGTGAACAGGCTAGGCAACACCCAGTTCAAGAATATAATCTGATAATATTTCAGACCTTAAAATGTCTTGCTTCTCTCATCTCAAAACACTATATGTAACATTTGTTGACTACTTTCCATGGGCTTTTTAATGGCCTATTTTGAGGAATGTTTTTAAATTTGGCACACTGATTCGGAAGGGTCTTAAAAGTGCTCAGACCAATTTTGAGGTCCTGCACTCAAAATCAATAGCATCACCAACTGCTCATAAATTTCCTTTGATTTCTTGGATCACATAAAACCAACTAAATAGAGTATTTTTAACTCTGTAATGCCAATACAGAGTGAAAATTCCATTGTAATTTTCAATTACATCTTGATGTCTTTATGATCGCATCATTGACTAATTCGCTCAACTGATTTGTTTAAAACTCAGATTCATTCAGGAATCAAACACCACTGCTGTGTGCTTCGTATATACGTAATAGTTGAGTTTGCTTTGGTCCTGTTTGAAGATATATCTGTTGACGGAGCCAACAATATAGTATGTCTATAATTGAAATTCCTCAACATTAAGATAATTACAAGCAACATTACAGTCTCACTTTTGTTGTAAGCCGTAGCATGTCAAGACAAAGCTACGCCATGGTCATGACCTTCACAAAGCCCCAGCGCAAATTCACTATGTCCACATTCTATTGATTTGTGCTTACTGGTGAAAATGCAATGTCTGAAATGCAAAAGTACATTTCTCAAATGACAACAATCACTACAATTATAATTTTAAGTAAAAATATTTTTTATCAGTTTAACCATTATACAGAATGAGAAAAATGTGACATTTTCATTGATTTCATTGACTAAAACTTGACTAAAATGCTCATACATTTCATTGACTTAAACTTGACTAAACAAAAACAGGGCAAGGTTGTCTAAATATGATAACTAAAATGTACATTTGAGTAAGACTAAGACTAAATTAAAAATGGCTGCCAAAATTAATACTGTAAGGTTAATTAACAATAATCTCATTGCTAAAATGTCAAGTTCCCCTTCAGGAACTCGAGCTGCATCGAAACGCTACGGGAACGCCTCCAGCGTGACCACGCTCTGAATCACATGTGTAATCAGTCCAATGGATGGGCGAGACGTCACAGGCGGGGTGACGTAGCGACCAGGAAGTATAAAAGCTGAAATGCAGCCTGTTGGTGTCTCGTGCCTGCAGCTTCTGCCCGTTCTTCGGCCAGTTCTCTGAGATGGTCCTCACTGCAGAACACAAGCTCCAGGGGGCGAGGTTGGATCCAGATCCAACTCCTCCCACCTTACATATACCTAAACCTACCCGTCTTCCCCCTCTGATCCCTAAACCCACCCATCTCCACCCCTAAACCTACCATCTCCACCCCCTAGATGTGGATCCAACCCCGCCCCCTGGATCTTTGTTCTGCAGTGAGGGGCTACTGAGTTCTCTCGCTCGGGCCACAGCCTCTCTCGACTCGTGCTCCGCCAGCATCTGTAAGAAACGATCCATTGCAGTGTTGGCTTCCTTCCACCTGGCCTCCTCCATCTCCCTCATTTCCTTCAGTGCCAACATAACAATTGTGTCTCCTCTTTTCCTCTTTCCTAGCATACAGACATAAATAAATCCACACATAAAATTCCAGTCTAACCCTAACCCTATAACCCTATTGCACTAATTGTACTATGTATAAGCAATTTAACAGCACAGTTTACAAATACATCTTTCTTCACAGAGTTAAACCATGTAATTAACCATGGTTTTACTGCAAATAAAACCAAAAAACCATGGTTACTATAGTTAAACCATAGTAAACACACACACACAAAAAAAACCATTGTTTTGCTACACTACCCATAGTTTAACCATGGTATTTGTAGTAAAACTGTGGTTATACAAATGGTAATCAATACGCCAAAAAAACATGGTTACTACACTTTTACTATAATAAAACTATGGTTAATTTTAGTAAGGGTTTGCTTTGTACCAATGCTTAACTGGTTCATAACTAAATTGATCATATTTCTAGCTTTATTTAACGGTTACTTGCCTTTTACAGACGTGTTAGTGTCACTGGCCTCCAAACGGATGCCTGCCGAACCTTTGCTTTCCACATTTCTAGTGTATGCTGGTTTGTGGCCAAGGATTGCATACCATTTTTCTGTCCGTTGGTCAGAACCATTTAGGTTGTTGTGCTCTTTAAAGGGGTCATTGGATGCTACATGCACTTTTACAAGTCGTTTGAACTGAAATGTGTGTTGGCAGTGTGTGTACACAACTACCCTATAATGATAAACCATTCTCTTCTCAAATACTTTTCTGGGAGAACCTCTATTGTGCTTTTTTTTTTATTTTTACAACTACTACATTACTTAATAAACTGCATTGTATTTGATTTATGATTTAATTTAATAACCAAAAAAATAAGCATCATTTGTATTTAATAGATTAATTTATCTTGAGCATTTATTCTTTGAAGCTTCATCTTTCTTGAATATATGCTCATTTCCTCTTTATCCAATTGCTGTTCCTCTTATGTTTAGATGCTTCCACCCCTTTTCACATCTGTGAACCATATCTAGTACTCACTTTAACATATGGGTTGACTCATTCATCTTTCATATCTACATTTGACTGGTTATGATGGACCAGAACTTTTGCATCATATTATGCATCTTTTGTGGTAAGTTTGCTCTTTTTGTGCCTTCTTGTGTTGCAAGTCTTAAGCCTTTTTGTACCTTCTTGTAAGATTGTAATCAGTGGTAATAAGATGAACTTTGAATGCACTGCAATATTCATGTTGTTGTACACAGAGATAGATGAATGATTCAGTGTGTCGTTGTAGGAATAAAATTTTAATTTCTTACAGTTTTAATTTGACTGTAGAGTTACAGTTACTCAACATTCATTGTTAATCATAACATCTCATTTTAAATAACCTCACAAGTTAAAAACCTTGACCATCTTTTTAAAGTAATAGCATATGTAATAGCATGGTCAGTCCTATGATATGGATGAAGATGAAAAATGTCCTTTTAAGGCAAGAACATAATCGATTAAGTGTGAACTTCCTTTTATACTGTAAATGCCTCTGCCTCTCTCATATGAGATTTCTGTTTTCACTCATGCACACAAATATGCATCTCTGATAAATGAACTGCAAAAAATAACTCATAGATGCACTTGACAGCTTTTCATATTTGAATCTATATATTAGAATGAAAAACAATTACACTTAAGAGGAAACAAAACAATCTAAAGATTTTGTTGGCACAGTGTGCAGCAGAGTGCTTGTAACTTTTTCCGCTGTTACTATTTTCACAATCTAGCATGGCTTTAAGTTCTTCAGTATTTATTATTATTATTATTATTTTGGTTACAAGACATGTTTAATGTTACTTTATATTGTAATTGCTTCCATTGGTGCATCATGGTGATATGCTGAGCAGGTGTTTGACATCTGTTAGCCTATTACAGCATGTATTTTAGCATGACTGTCAATCATTTTTGACAGGGGGAAAAATTATATAATTTAACATTAAGCAGTCTTTCGAGTTGACGGTGCGTCAAATATGCTGCGCATCCATTGATAGTGAAACACTCAAACGATTAAGTATAATCGAAAGAAGTATAGGCGAGTAAGAATATATTCCCCGCTTCCACAGACAAGGCTTAAGCCTAGTCCCAGACTAAAATGCATGTCTGGGCTGTTTTACCTGAAAGAAACCATTGTTTTGTCCCAAGATGTACACAAGTAATGTTATTTTCTAAGGCACGTTTATAAAAGACAGGCTTAATCCTGGTTTATCCCAAGCCCTGTCTGTGAAACCAGATCTAACCATCTTACTTAATCACTCATGAGTGGAATCTAAACAATTTATTAGCTTGTGACAAATTTAATTGTCTAGTGTGCGAAAGTTAGACACACGTTTGAGTAATTTACTCGCAATGAAGAGGGTTGCACAGGCACAGTGATGTTCAAAATTACAAGAGACCATACTACTTCTGCTGTATTTATGCTGTGTGCAGTAGGTTTTGCACATTGAATTATACCACAACGGTGTTGTATGGCTTGTAGCTGTTTCTTTTAACTCTTTTACTCTTTTAGGAAATCTATTAAATGATATATCAATTTAGTGGATTCTAACACTCATTCTTACCTCTTTTCTTATAGTCTGATTGTGAGTGATCCTTTAATTCAAGCCAGAGATAAAAGAGGACAGATTTATAATTGTGCGGTCACAGAAGGAACCTGCTCATCACTGAACATTAATGGTATTTGGGGTTTAGTACTAACTGAAATATGATTTGCCAATTTCCACAAATAGGGGCTATGGCCTGAAACAATTGAGAAATTCTTATTTTGGTTTTCAACAAAAGAAGGGAGTGTACCTCAGTAACACAATCAAAGCAAGCCTTTCAAATGTTTTGTTGTTGTTGTTAATGAAAATGAACAAACTGTCTGTATGTTAATGAAGTTCCTCCAGAAGTTGTCGACATGTCTCTTGGACTTTCCATGGTTCAAGAGCCACAATCTTCAAAGGTGGTGGTAAGTTATCCAGCACACTATAGAGATCAGTTACAAATGAAGTATATATTACAACTGTTTCACACGTGCAAATGTCTAAAGAACATAAAAAAAATAAAATGAAATGCTCTGTAAATTTACTCTGAATGTATAAAAGGGTTTATAAATGTTAAAAGACATAATATGAGAAAACTGTTTCAACATTAAAGAAAAATAACCTAATTTTGTGTTTGTAATATAAAATTAATACATTTTATTTGATATAATTTATTTGATTTATTTTACTGAGACATGCATGTATGTGTAATATAAAATTAGTACATTTTATTTTTTATAATATATTTGATTTATTTAATTGAGTCACGCATGTTTATATTATTATCTTGTCTCAACAACTAAACAGATTTTGACCAGAGCAATAAAAGTGGTTGGTGTTGTGGCCTATAATACCATTTGATTTAGTATTCCTTTAAATTCATGTTTAAATTCCATCTCACCCAGGTTTGTGGTCCAACCATTCCAAAGAAATGTGTAGCAGCTACCAACTACAGAGGCATGTGCTTTATCCAAGAAAACAATGAGTTTAAACCACTAATTCCGAGCCCTAATTATCGAGGTAAATATGATGATCACTAAATTGATTTTTTTTTTAAATGAAGTTAACTACTTTCTTCTCATTTGTAACTTTACTGCAGTTTTAACTACATACGTACGCACTTATGCTTCACTTCCAGACTGTCTTGGTCAGATTGACATAGCTTTTCTATTAGATGGATCTGGGAGTGTAGGAACTTCTAATTTTGGGATCATGAAGTCTTTTGTGACAAATGTGATCAAACGTTTTACTGAGCGGGATGGACAGGTAGGAATAGCCTTAATTTTTTTTTCAGTACTTTAAAAAAGTAAAAAAAAAAAGTGAAACACATGGAAATATGTAAATATATTTGATCAGAAAAATCAGGTTTTATAGAGCACATAATGAGACGTTGTCAACTTTAACTGTTGGTTTACAGTTTGCTATTGCTCAGTACTCCAGAGATTGTACTATTCACTACAATTTCATTCAACTCAAAATTGAAGACCCCACATGGGAGTCTAAGGTAACAGGTATACAGGACTTCGGCGGTGGCACTCACACTGCAGCAGCCATCCAAAAACTTGTGTAAGACTTGTTTGTTAATATAATAATTTAAATACATTTTATTAAGTGTGGCCCATTTCATGTATATTATGCTCATATAAGTTTATATGTGTAGTTTAAAAGTTAAATGTTAAGCATTATGAGCTAAATAAAATTGATACACTGAATTGAAGTCAACAGTGGAGACACAATTATCTTGAAAAACTAGAGGTTTACATTTTATGGGAAAAAAAGTAAACCATTTTTCTCCTAAATCTATTTTCAAATACTAGGAATGAGCTATTTACATCAGCTGGAGGGGCAAGACCATTAGCCAAAAAAATCTTGCTTGTTATTACTGATGGAGAGTCACAAGACAGGAGCTTATTGACAGATGCAGTATCACAGGCAGAGGCAAAGAACATAGTACGATTCGCAATCGGGGTAGGTTTTTCTTTACATGTCATTCAAATCTCAATGAAATAGGCTCTGTATCATTATTTCTCTTTAAGGAAACAATATGCTTTGTTTCTAGGTTGGCAATGCTTTTAATAATTTCAGAGCAAAAGAGGAGTTAAATACAATTGCTTCTGATCCAGATATTGATCATGTGTTTAAAGTGACAGACTTTAATGCACTAAATAATATTCTTCAAAAACTGGAAGAGAACATTATTGGCATTGAAGGTATGTTGGCACCTCAGAAGACAATACAGTTAAGAATAAAATTGCTTGTATACATATATTTGTAGAATAACTGAACAGATTTTCTGTAAAAGCTTTAAAGGTGTTAGGGTCTTTTCTTTAGGGTCTTCATGAAATGTCTGCAGCATACTTTGGTTGAACAACAGCCTTGGTCAAAAACAGCTCTGTTCACAGTGACCCGTATCGGTGCATGTCTTTTTAAATGCTAATGAGCTCTGCTCACCCCACCCCTCTCTTCTGTGGAAGAGGAAAGCCGATTTGTAAATAGATTTGCAAATAATCATAAAAAATATAAAGTGTGAGACTTACTGCTTCTGGAGGTGCAGCTGGATCACAAATATTGGGTACTGATCCATCCTTGAGTTTTAACTTTTTTAGCAAATCCTGCCTTGAATTGTCCCTCATTCAGAAAGTAGTCTGGAGTAAAATGATTTGTGCAGACATAAATTAATTTAGGTGTATTCGGTGGTGCATTACCATCAAAAACAAAACAAATCCACTGCATCCTCAGTGGCTCTGATGTCAGGAGAATATGAAGACTCTTATGTTCACTTTTACATCCAACTACAAAACACTTGCATTGCTTACGAGTCATTGTTGAGAACAGCCAGGCATAAGAACAGTTTCTTTCCTCAAGCAATCCATCACATGAACAGCTAACTTGGCAATAAACATGTAAAACACAACACTATTTATACATTTATTTATTTAACACACATACCCCTTTTTACATTTCCTTGCATTTTTACATAATACACCTGGCCCGATTCAAGGCTTGTCGCAAACAATTTTTTGTCCCAACAATCCTCTATTGTGTGGTGTCATTACGATTATGTAACTGCTCCCGTTCAATACGGAGCATCCCCGATCTTAAATCGTAAATATCAAACATATTTGATATTTACATCTCTTGATCGGGCTGCCCCTGACGTGATACGTCAATGAGAGTGAGCAAGCATCACCTACTGGAGGTTGCGCATAGGCGGAGGGTGAACCAACTCCAGGATAAGGCTAAAAGCAGTCAAATGTATTAAACATCATAAACCCGTCTTTTTAGGCAAGAACCAGACATGGGTGTCATGTAGGCTAAAAAAATGTTTAATGGGACTGAATTTGTATTTAACGTGATTGCAATTAAATAAAAATGTTAGAAATTGATAATTATATAATGTTTCCTTTCCACTGTTATTAAAACAGCGAATAAATTACATATAGAAAGTGACATTATCACTAACATTGATCTATCGCGAGTTTAAGCACTCTCAAAAAAACAAAACTATCGTTATAATCACTGAAGCTGTATACATTGTTAAATTAATCTTTTACTCACATTGTACGTACATCTGCGCTTTGTTGTTTATGATGAGAGAATTCGCAAGAGTCATGAATTCAGTCAGCGAATGCGCACGCACTCAACAACCCGTAAGCATTTCATGCGGTGTTAAGTGCGTGCTCCTGTTAGTTTGCATGCGATAGCTCATTAGTGCAAGAGGTAATGCATCAATCCAATTATGTTTAGTACTTTCACATATTTTGTTCATTTTGGCCTTGATAGTTCCATTAACCCTTTCGACGCACCCTCGTGCCTGTTTCATTCTTAATTGTTGCAATATTTGTTTTACTGTTTTTAGTATAAATGCCGACCCATTATCTGAACTTATTTCTGATGGTATTCCAAATCTAGGAATTAGTTCTCTTGTCCTGTCTACTTTAGCCACGTAGGCATTTTACACACAGGCATATGGGATTATAATGGAAGTATAACTGGATATTTAAATGGCTATATTCATAATGATTATACTTGATTAATTCCTATTTGGATTAATAAAACCTTCTACAGTCCCTGTGGCCATACAGCCTTACACACGCTCCGCCTATTGCGTGCTTCTATAGCTGAAACTTGGCAGACACAAACATGCCACGGATGTAGAGTACTGAGAAAGAACATCACCCATATTCTTTTTTTCTATTTTGCTTTTTACTGCACAACAGAACGCACGCCAAGAGAGACAGCTGACAATGTTAACTGTCCTCCTTGTGTTTTTCTTCTCTAGTCACTTTTGATCTCGCAAGTCATTCCTACAATCAACAAGTGTGTGGTATCGCGGTCTAGATTATAAGGCTAAAAATCGGTCTTATAAGGATTATAAGGCTAAAAAACTGTCTTCATGTCTGTGGTCTCCCATGGTTTTAAAATCTGTTAAGATTTGAAAATCGTCTAGGGTGTCCCAGGCCATATGCTAATATGGGACAGTCTGTCAGCAGTCGTGGGCGGGTCCTGCGCAATGTGACGTCATATTGCTGTTTATGTTTTTTGGGGATTAAAAATAAAGTTGTGAATGGATTTTTATCATTGTAGGCTGGTTGTGTCCACACACTGCTAAGACACATTATATGCAAACACCATGTAAAAGTGAATTTTGCATCCGATGTCCCCTTTAAAGCAACTCTTTGTGGTTTTGTGTATTTTTGCGACTTTAGAGCCCCCTACAGTTAAGTGAGTGGAATTCACTTAAGTGAGTCTTAATTACAGTGGATACTGTACACTGTAAAATTCAATAGTTTACCTTAGATTTAATTAGTTGTCTTTACTTAGTTGTTATACTTACAAGGTTTTATTAAGTTACAGCTACTTTCAAGGCAAATAAAACAATTTACTTACTGTTTTGAGTGACACTTACTTAAAATATTCAAGTAGCCACAAAGGATCCAATGATATTAATACACCAGTGAGAGGCAGTGCACTAATATGTTGCTAATGTGCAACATAACAACAGAAGAAGAAGAAATGAAAATGAGTCTTAATAGACTTTGAGTCTTAATAGACCCATTTCCTCCATGTCTGCAGTTATCTTTCACTAGTTGCATTCACTTGTTTCCCAAAGTCATCTTGAATGTTGAATTTTCAATACAACTGAAATATCTGAGAGAACATCATATAAGCTAACTTCATAAATTGATGTTGATTTTCCTAAAATGTTTTTTTTTTTAACTCACCAGTATAGTGATTAGCGTTCCCTTTGGTTGGGCACTTTGAACTTCATTTATGTTAATATAATTATCTTCCTCTTAAAGCAGCAATACATCATGAAGTCAGAGTTATTTGATTTCAAGGGAAGAAAAGTAATAAATAGATTGCTTTTAGAATGTGACCTATATTCTAATTAAAGCATTAGTGTTTTTTTTTTATTTTGCTTGTGTTCTTTAATGAAGTTTTTAAAATTTAATTTTTCATAAATACTTTGAGATGCTTGTAATGGGTTTATATAATCCTTGAATTGTGTGTGGTGATATGCTGAAGTCACACACAGACTTAAACATTCAGCACGTGAATCACAACAATGGTAACAATTCAAATTCATTTATTTTCATTAATTGTAACAATAACCATTTTATTTGCTCTATTTGTTGTGCTACTACTGACACAAGACAGCAAATAAAATTGGCAAATAAAATCAACAACTGTAAAACAAAGCAACTGCATAATTTATTCATGCCACAATGCACTCTGGGAGTCAGTGAGTAGCTATACTAAGTCATGAGTAAACCTAAATGAAAGGATCAAGTACCCCCTACAGTTCTTTTTTAGTTACTAGAACTCTCGTGTAAGTAAACTATAATAACTAAGCATTTGTCAGTACAACATACTATTCCTATTTCACTTTACTTAGTTTTTTCAAGGCAATCGGTTTGCATGCTTTTTTTAAGTAAGCCCAACTAATTAGATTTTACAGTGTAGCTGAATTTGTTGCTGCCAGTGTACCATCTGAATGATTTTAAAAATGATCCTTCAGGCTAAAAAAACTTCCATACAGTTCCTTTAAATTTATTTCAGTTACTTCTGTTGCTTTGCTGTAGGAACTCAGACTTCAGGTGATTCCTCTAGAATGGAGTTTGCACAGGATGGATTCAGCACAGCCTTCACATCATATGTAAATAATATGTGATTTTACCAAATCCCTAATATTAATGTCTTCGGACCAAGTGAATGATCATAGTATGGTTATGCAGTTATACATTTTCATTAAAGGTTGAAAATGTATAGGAATAAACTTTAAATACTAAAAAACTGTGACCCCAAAGACAACACTGTACCCTTTCATCTTTTGTAATGCACTCAAATTTTTGTCAAATAAAAGAAGGGTATGCAGTAGCTTGAGATGGTGTATATTTTCCAAATCCAGTGACAGTTTAGTTTTGCTTTGTTTAGGGAAGTGTGTTGGTGAGTGCTGTTGGAGCTTTCCAGTGGAAAGGTGGTTACCAGGAATATGTTCCAAGTAGCTCCTTTCAAACAGGCAATAAGCATGAAAGCTATCTAGGTAAGGCTTTATTTTTGAAACATACTAAAATATAGAAGATGTGAATTTAAAGTCAGTTTCTCCTATACAGCAAAAACAACTAAGAACATGCATAATACTGAACTATTGAATTTTGTCTGAAGGTTATTCGATGGCTGTTGCAACAGTTTCAGGGATCAGCTATGCTATTCTTGGAGCACCAAGATACAAGCATCAAGGACAAGTCATTGTATCACAAATCAGAACCAATCAACATAAAGAGCTGGAGTTTCCCAGGGTTGTTCACAATAATTACAGTATCATTTTCCCTATTCAATGATTGTGTAATAAGTCAAGATGTTACAGTGCTGCTGTAAGTTTGATTTTAACATTAATGGATACTTAAAAGCAGCCCCCCCCATCACCCCACACCCGTTTATTCATGTTATGATTCATGTCATCTAAAGCCTTTATTTATAGATGTGGAAGCCAACACACTCATAAATCACAAAGGGAGTTTTTTTTACGTCAACCAACAACATTACAATTTAGCTTTCAGTATTTCATTATAGAAAATCTAAACAAGCATTCGTAACTGAAGAAAACATTTTTCAGGGTTTGACATTTGAAATATCAGTTTCAAAATCCTTCTGATGGGACCCTGACTTCTAACTATGACTATGGCAACCGACAGAAAGTAGATAAAGCTAATATTAATGTTCAAACTTCTCTTTTCTCAGCCTCAGATTGGCTCATATTTTGGAGCTGAGGTTTGTGTGGTGGATTTGAATAGGGACTCCAGAACAGACCTCCTGTTGGTATCGGCACCAATGTACATGGAGCCTGACCGGGAGGGTAAAGTGTTTGTTTACACATTTACGAGTCAGGTAAGCGATGGGGATAAAACATTTTACAACATTTTGAAAATGAATTTAGATTTAAAGATTTTTAAAAAAATTTTTTTTTTTTACTTTTCTTTACTTTCTCTTCTATCATCATAGTTCACTTTTTCTGGTGTGGTGCTGGTGGGAATGGCAGGTCAGAGGGGTCGGTTTGGTTCTTCTTTAGCCAGTCCAGCAGATCTGAATAATGATGGCTACATGGATGTGCTGATTGGAGCTCCTTTAGAGGAGGATGGACAGGGCAGCATCTACATCTTCAATGGAGGAGTAGATCAAATAAATCCCATATATTCACAGGTGAAAAAGACTTGGTTGGTGGCAGTTTAAGGGCAAAGTAGCACCTTCCGTGCATTAATTTTCCTTGGCTCACTTCAGGGGCTCATTCTAATATTTCCATTATCTGTTTGATTATCTGTTTGATTCCTTGTCTGTGATGACAGAGGATTGCTGGATCATCGGTACAATCAGGTTTGCAGTTCTTTGGAATTTCATTGAGTCAGTCCTCTCTAGACCAGAGTAGAGACAGCTTTCCTGATATTGCTGTTGGGTCCATGGGAGCAGTTCTGCTTCTTAGGTCTGTTAAAAGAACTCTCTCTCTCTATATATATATACTGTATGTATATGTATATATATTGTGGCATCATGAGAGAGCGTGTGCTAGAGGGAAGATACGGGGCAAGATGGCCACCTGTTAAGGACTACAAAGCCCAGGCTGCCTTAGAGAGAGGGGGCAGCTGCAACTCTACTGAAACTGGCAGCATGGTCTGAGAGGAGGGAAAAGAGGTGTTGGTGTGGCTGAAAAAGACACACACCGTGTTGGGAGACGTAAATAAGATTAAAGGGTTAGTTCACCCAAAAATGAAAAATAGCCCATAAATTACTCACCCTCAAGTCATCCTTTACAAATCCTCGTTTTGTACTTCTAATTAGTGACCGTTGTTTTGTTTTGATCTCTCCCCTGCGCTTCCGCTTTCCTGCGGCGCATGCGCAAAGCTGACCTCATACGTCATTCCCCCGGAACTGCTTTCATTGTACAACAGTGAGCGCAAGCTACATTAAAGTGATTATTACGCTTTGAATATGGATATTTTTCTTACAAAAACGCATCGATTTGCTACAGAAGGCCTTTGTTCACCCCCCGGAGCCATGTGAGACACTTTTTTTTAATGGATGGGCTCATTTTATTTAACTGCTTTTGGACGGATGCACTGCAACACCCGCTAAGTGGCATGAAACAGCTTGAAAGGTCAAAGACAATTTTTAATATAACTCCTACTGGATTCGTCTGAAAGAAGAAAGTCATATACACCTAGGACGACTTGATGGTGAGTAATTTCTGGGCTAATTTTAATTTTTGGGTGAACTAACCCTTTAAAGGTGCACTAAGCAATTTTTGCCAAATGATGTTGATATTTGAAAGCACTAAAACACGTACGTACACAACCCTGGCAGTGACAATGGCAGAATCTGCTATGCCTGCCGGCCGCAGCATATTCAAGCAAAAACCAACATAGAAAAGTTGTGTGAAAAAGCAAAATCAACGTAACTCACCTATCAAGAAGTAACAAAGCAACCTTGGCATCCGATTCCCTTCCGCTCCTTGAGTTCTCTCCACCGCTGGAAAGCTGCTCCAATATTTACGTGGGTCCTACCTCTTGCCTGATCGTAACCCTTCATTTTAATGTTTTGTTTCTCCGAAATTTTCTTCTTTTTTATCTGCCAACTCTCGCTATCTATAGTCAATCTGCTAATATCCATCCTGTGCACTCACTGAGCGCTCTCTTCTCCTTATCATTATTAGACACGCCCCTTACTGCTGATTGGCTGCGAGTGTGTTTTGGGACTCGGTCCGACACAGTGGTCAAAAGCGTTTTTCAAAAATCGCTTAGTGCACCTTTAAGTTATTTTGTTTGTGTGCTGAAGAGATTTAAGTTGTAAACCTAAGGTCTTCTATTTGATTGTTAAAAAACACCTGCAGGCTGAGGAGACTGTTGAAGCTGTGTTTATTGAAAAACTGCACAAGTTAAAGATCCGCAACCTCTCATGCTGCCACAACACACACACACACACACACACACACACACACACACACAAATAGTAATCAATCATTGTTATGTGAATCATTCAGGTCCAGGCCCATCTTGCTCTTGGAAAACAAAGTAACTTATAACCCAACCAAAATACCAACCGGTGTAACAGACTGCACAAAGCCATTGCAAAACAACCTGACTGTGTGCTTCACCATGAGGGGATCCAAACATAGCCTAACAGGTTTTTTCATAAACTAATTACATACTAAAACTGAGTTTTTGTGTGCTTACATCACATATATTCTGCTCGAGGTTTGTAGTATTCTGGTGAACTCTTGAAATGCCACACCTTGTTGCATTGCTAATATTTTTTTTTTGCTTCTTATGATCAATCATGTGTTCTAGATTTAGCTGCAAATATTAATTACACCATAACGCTGGATGCCAAGCGACAGAAATATCGAGCATATTTCTCGGCCAAAAACCGCCTCCACAATGATGCGATGAACATTGGGTTGCAGGAAGTTTGCAGAAATCATTCTTTTTTAATAGAGGTAAGCATCAAATGTAAATGGTATTGTTGTTGTTATTGTCTAGCTATTCTGATTAGATTTAAGTGAATCTGATGAATGGAGGCTAAAAACTGGGAGGTCATTCAGGTTTCTTAATATATATAATATTGTGATACTGTGATAAAAAAAAATTGAGTCTAATATTTTATTCAACATTTTAAGAAATATAATGGGGACATTTAGATGCATAACAGGAGCGTCCCATGTATACATTTTTTTGAGTGTTTTGCTATTAACATTTCTTATTACTTCTTGTTTCCACCAGGCTTGTCCAGAAGATGCTCTGAACCCATTGTCCAATCAGTTAAATTTTACATTTAATGGTCTACCATCTAGATCTAGAACAATGCAAAACTTGAGGCCAATTCTCCATCCAGACATAAAGACCACCACAGACCACAATGTAAGAGTTCATCTGTGTAAAGTTAAGAGCAGAAATTATGCACTTTCTACAGTATGTGCAAACACCTTAGTGTCTTACAGTCCATCAGATAATGATTTAGCATGGCAAATATTGCAAAAATAAAGGGAAGGTTATTTCTGACTGTAAATATGTCATGGTGCCCACCATTGCCAGCAGAAACCAATGCAGAAATGAACAAGAAACATTAGCTCTTTGTATCTCATCACATATGAGCGATTCTTTCATTTTTTTATGTGCCCTCACTTTGTTTTACAGCTAGATTTTGAGATAAACTGTGGAACTGATAATTTATGTGTCGATGACCTCAGAATGGATTTCAATTTCTCTGGGTGAGCAAATCATTTGCTCTATTTATAAACTTTAATATTGATAGAGATGAATAACTCCAAACTATCTTGACACCCACTAACCTCTCTTTTGTTTCTGTGATCCAGATCTACAAATATCGAGGTTGGGATCATGCAGGAGATCAATGTGACAGTGTTTGTAGAGAACAGAGGAGAAAACTCATACAACACACTCTTCACCCTCAACTACGCCTTTGGACTTTCCTACAGGAGAATCACATCTAAACAGGTAAAGCCAGACACAAAGGTACAAATGCTGAAACTAACAGTTAAAAATTATGACAATGATATTTCTAAAGCAAATTGACTATTGAACACTGAAGTTGCAACAAAATGTGTGTTGAAATATATTATGAACGTTCTGCATGAACAGGGCAGGGTGGAGTGTCTGTCTCTGGATGGTGTGCAAGGGGTTAAACTAGGAGAAACCACCTGCTACATCAGTAAACCCATCCTCAAGGACAACTCTCAGGTCAACAACCACACCCGTGACACTAACCGAACGTTTGCTTGTGTGTAGGGCTGCACAATAATGTTAAAGGGGTCATATGATGTTGCTAAAAAATGCGTTGCACACATCTGAATATTTGGCTTGAACTGTTCTGGAACAGTGTTGTAAATACAACTTAACCACTGATTTCTAGTCGTGTCCTCTTTTGGAAGGCCAACCAAAGTATTTTCGCTTTCGCAACGAAACACACAGTGTCTTCACAACATGGCGGCGGCGGTGGCAACAACAATAAAGTTACGCCTTCTTTCTTTGCGTGAACATTTGGGTGGTGTTATGCAAATCTTCCCACACAGTGACGTAGACATGTGGGGGCGTGTTTAAACGAGGCGTTTTAGGAGGGCGTGGACCAGTCTAAACTTTTATAAAGAATATCTCTTTGGATTTGAGACTTTAGTCTTTGCAACTTTAGGGATCTTATCTATTCACGAACAGCTTGTAACACTCCAAAGACAAAGGAAAACTTGAAATTGCATCATATGACCCCTTTAATACTGAAAATCAATGATTCTTTTGCTCAAAAATTAGAATTGCAATTAATTAAGAAATTTCTTTTTACATTTCATCAGAATGATTGCATGTTCATGTAAGCACAAATCAAGAGAATGTCAGCTCATACACAGGGTTTATTTTATCCAAGTCTGCTCTCCTGATTCATTATATTCATCATATACATTAACACACTGTCTAAATACAAACTGGTAAAACATTAAGAAGCTTCTCTCAAAACTACGGAAGCTTGTTT